TATGGATATATCTATAGATATATCTATAGATATATCTATCTATCTCAAGAGACCCCTTGATTTGCATAAGGAAATTGAATCTCTGTTTTAGGTGTGTCCTTCAGAGGGCAGGCTTTGGATCAGACAGGCGTAGCATTTTGAATACTAGCTTGGTTATTTAACAGCTGACCTTAAGCAAGTTACTTAACCTCCCTGATGCTAGTTTATGCATCGACAAAATAATAACCCGTCTCTCGAAAATGATGTACAGATTAAATGGGATAAAGATATATGAAGCTTCTAAGCAGGACCAAGCAAATGATATGCACTTAGTAAATAGTAACTGTTTTACTGAAAGATGTTTAATTATTCAAAAATCAGAAAGAATTAAGTATAGTAAAAATTCTTTTAGTATGGTCAAACTTTTTATCTTTAATAAAATTTTCTGAACTTAAAGGTTGTTAGTATCTTGCGTACCCATAATAATTTATTATTTTTAAAAAATCATTATTAGTTCTCTGTCAATTCTCAGTCTTTTGTCTCTAGGAACACAGTAGGCATAGTTATCTTAAAGTCTGTCTGATCATTCAGATATGTGGAATCCCTGTGAGTCTGTTTCTGTTGCCTTTTGTTTCTGCTCTGAATGCCTGATTGTTTTGATCATCTATGGACATTATATTTGCAAAATCATCTGTAGAAATAATTTGATGATGTCTTTCTTCTGAAAGAGCCACATTTGCTTCTATTAGGCATCTCAAGACACTTAAAATGATCTGGTATTACTTAATCCACATCTGGGTTTGAGATGATTCGGATCTCAGAGGCTGCACTTCTTACTTCAGATGCACTCTAATGCCTGGTGTGTAGCCCCTGAGAGTCTCAGTCCAGGGCAGAGATGTCCACGGTGCTCAGCCTCAGCTTTTCCCTCAGAAATCAGCAGGTTCCCCCTCCTTCCCCTCCAGGCCTCTGTCCTGCCCCACCCTGGCCTGGTAATTCTTTGCTGTCTTGTTAGTTATCAGGTGCCTTCCGGTAGCTGTTTTCTATACTTTACCCAATTTTTATTTGTTCTCAATGGGATTTTTCCAAAGCACCTATCCTATTAATAAGGCAATTTCAGGAAGTTTTTCACACGCTAAAAAGTACTTTCAAAATTGGATAATATATATTTAGAAAAATCCACCTAAAAAATTTAAATGAAAAATCATGCCATAGCCTTTAAGAAGTGTGATCAGTTTTTTTCTTTTAGCAGCCATAAAATTGAGTGTAAATAGCTATGGAATAGGATACTTTTATCTAAAGTGCATATTAAACTAATACTTAAATATCTGAAGTTTATACTTTTTTTCATAGGCTTCCAGCTTGTTTAAAGGTTTTAGTGCATTGGAGCTATTGCTCAAACTGACTATTTGGCTTTGTTAATTGCAACCTTTTCTTTCTATTAAGACAGCTTATCCACTTTAGGCAAAAGTTCCTATTCTATGTCTCTCTATTCAACTTGAATTCTGGATATTATACTGTTTTTACTAATGTAGATTGTGTTCTGTTTCTCTGGGGCAGTTAAAAGAGAAAGAGGCAATTTAAAAAATATAAAATAAAATAAATAAGTTTATTCAAGTTCAATATTTCATTCTTTCTAGGCAGCATCCAGATTTCCTCAGTTCTTCAATGCCATGCAACTTCATCAGCATGATTTTCCTTCCTTTTTTGCTATAACTGCCCTTCCCTAGTGTATCCTCTCAGCTCTCTGAATTATCATTTGCTCTTTATCAGGAAGTGTTTTGTCATTGCATGATTTTGATAGCAGCAGAGTAAGTCACTGTAGACTTTAGAGCAGAACAAATCACTCAAAATTTTATTGTGAAGTGAAAACCTTCCTGGGAAATCATGTCAATGTCATGAATATTACATATTGATTTCACTTGGCAGAGCACCTGGGATTTTATTTTAAAACTGGTATCACAGATGGTTTCATTTTTTTTTTATAGTAAAGATAAAAATTGAGATAAGAATTATATTTTTAGATTTATACCGTAAAATTCAAAAACTGTTCTTTTCCTGTAATTACACATGTCTCTGTCCAAAGTGTGGTTTTAAATTGTTTACTCAGAAGCTACTTTTGTCACTTTCTTTGAGAAATGTGAGTGTACATTCTTAGGGCTCTGTTAGCCAAATATATTGAAGAAGATTAAGTATTTAGGAAAGTAGTATTTCTTGGTGTTATGAGTAAGTTCAGAAATGTACTTTTATGTGAAAGTCCCATGTCAGAGAACTTGAGATCATTGATAGGGTGTTACGATGAAAATGACCAACAAATGGCCACGAAATCGATGAAAAGATGTTCAACCTTAGAAGTCAGTGAGGGCAAATGAAAACAATGAAATAGCACAATTCACCACCACATTATGAAGTATTAGAATTGATAATACTGACTTTAGGTGAAGATATGAAAAAAAGTTAACTTTCATATCCTGGTGAGAAGGCAAATTGATACAGCTACTCCTATCTACTAAAAAAAAAAAAATGCATACCCTATGACTTAGAATTTCCACTTCAGCAATTTCCTTTTGCTTAGAGAAACACTTGGACATGGGCATATGGACACATGTATGAAGTAGTTCATTGCAGCATTGCTTGTAACAGTGAAAAATCTGAACAGTCTAAATATTCAACAGAGAACAGCTTACTCATCTATGCAGCAGCTTCCAAAGAATGCTGAAGATCTGATAAATAGATGAAGCTGTAGATTAAAAAAAATTAAAGTTTACAAGACAAGAGTAGCAAAGCAAGAAAAAAGTTTTTGTATCAAAAAAAGTGCCAAAGGACACCAAAGACCCTAGAAAGATGAAAAATTTAAGGCATTCTCCCTAGTCCAACACATAATTTATATTAATGTAATAATTAAGTCTAGAAATGATTTTCTTTATTATGCTTATAACTGAAAATTATTTAAGTAGCAATAATCTGAGCTTTACTTTTTATTAATGAAAATATCTTAGACAATAATAGAAATATAAAAATAAAAAGGTCCTGTGAAGGTAGATCTCAGTAGTGGAGCCAGCGCAAGACTGCTAAAGTTTGCTTCAGAGAACTGTTAAAATTAAACTTTTATACTCAAAGACTTAATCTGGACATACGTTCCTGAAGTCTACATGTAAGATTGTGTTGTCTGACAGACGGAGCACAGAAAATTTCCATGTTATTGTAGAGATATTTCAAGGCTATTTTCTATGCCTCGTAAATGAAAACATGCTTGTTTTTACAGACCACCTCTGCAAGAAGAAAGGAAAATCACCATAAAAAAATGGCCTGTACCGTGTGATTGACATGTTGCTGGGAGGACAGGATCAGTATGTTCCCAACAGTACAAATTTATCAGTAAGTGCTGCATCATGCCTCAGATATGTAAAAGGCGATAATATTGATCACAAACTTTTAAATACCAAGTGATGTTTTTAAAAATTTACCTAAGTTCTAACTGCTTTAAATGGCCTAATCCTTGGCTATAGTTTTATATTTACTGCTAAATATGGAATTGGTGTTCTTTCCAGTGAAAGGTGTTCTGTAGAGGGAAAGATTGAGCAACCAGAGGATTAGTCTTAACTAGTTATCCTAGGTCCCTCAGTAAAAAGCTTTATATTTATAAATGCCCACAAGTGCTAATGCAGTGGAGTCACACCATGGATTTGCACAGCCCTTCTAGTGTGTTGTGCTCTATGCTTTGTCTGGGGTCCCACTGTGTTCACACGTCCTGTGAGAGACTCACAGATGCTTTGGCTGATTTCTGTGATGAGAGTTTTTGTCATCTGGGCTAGAGTGTTCTTACAGAACACCAATGATCCTAAATATTTATTCATTTGAACACATACTCATGGAGCGCCCATGGCGCCCCAGGTAGTGAAGCAAGTTTTAGGAAAGAGAGTAATAAGCAAGACAGAAGAGCTTGTGGTCCAGCAGAGAAGACAGGCTGTTACAGTAGAGTTTGGGATGCTTCGTGTCCAGGGCAGGACAGAGCAGGCTGGCAAGAGCTTCACCATACTCAGAATGGTGGGCAGTTTCAAACTTAGAAATTGTTTATATCTGGAATTTTCCATTTAATCTTTTTGGACCTTGGTTGATCTTGGGTAACTGAAACTGTGGAATGTGAAACGATGGATAAGGGGGGACTACTATGGTACTAGCAAAGAGCGATTGAAGCTGGGGAAAGAAGTGATCTTGTGGGATGGGGTGTGTGTGTGTGTTAGGTAGAGTTACATTGTCAAAGATAAATATAGCTTTATGCAAATTAAAGCAGTAAGGGTAGTTTTATTTAGTAATATTGCAATAGAGTAAGGAGTCCAGCATGAACTGAACTCATCTTCGGTTTGTGCCCAGTGACTGGGCATTTTAAAGGTGGAATGAGAACAGAGTGGGAGGTGGGCGTGGGTGTGGGGGGGGTGATGAGTAGATTTAGGGAAACTTATAAAAAGCAGGAAAGGGGATTGGTTAATTGGGGATTTACTAACTAGCAACTGGTGCTTGCTTATATCCTACCACAGGGACTGGGAAAGAAATGTTTTATTTCAAAGAGATGGTTCTCAAGTCTTGAGAACTCAGTTCTTGGTGGGAGAAGGTTTACATCTCAGAGGGGCAGAGGAAGGATTTATAATAGCAAGCTTTCTGAAGTAACTGCTCTAAGAGAAGGCTCAGGGGCCTGTCTGCCTATCACCAGGTTTTGGCTGGAACAGACGGTAAATTCTGCTGGCCGTGCTCTGTCTTCTCAGGCAGGCACTTTAAGGGGAGCTGCAGTTGTCCTAAGGACGTGACCTTGAGCTGTTCGTTTTGTTCTCTTAGTGGAAAGGGTAAATGAAATGATTTGTACAGAGAAGGTGCAGTTTTTATAGGCCAAATTTGAGGCCTGACTAGTCTTTGGTCAAGGAGAGTCTGTTAACATAGAGTAAAATTAATCTTGCGGTGAGATCAAAGAATTAATATGTAGGGCGTAGTTAAGTGAGAGAGGTCTTATCAGAGAATAGATGCGTGGCCTTAAGATTTCAGAGGTCATGTTCTTCCTGGTGATGGCAGGACCCTCGTATGGCCTGGAGATGAGATCAGGGAAAGAGTTTGGGGAAGGTCATCCTGTGAATGTTGAAATCATCTAAGGTAACTGCAGGATTTGTAGTGGAAGATGGAGGCTGTCCAGGTATCAGATCTCAAGGGATGGAGACTGGTGACCTGGAGGTTTGTAGATGTCTGCACTGAGGACAAGTAGGGACAGGAAAGTCCTCAAGAAGCAGATATGGAAGAGCCTCTGAACCCTGAGATACTGTGGTTGGATGTGGCAAATAGCTCAGCCTCCAAATGAGAGGACTGCAGGGGGGAACAGCCAGGTTTCACTTTAAGCCAGTGTATGAAGGAAACGTCAAACGTGGAGGTTAGCAGCGTAGAAGTATTTGGGAATTTTTCAGAGGCCAGTGGGAGAGTTGAAATGTAGGGGAGCGCTTGGAAATTAGGTCAGAGGGAGGGAGCTGAGAACGTCAGGGCGGGTGGGACCGTCACAGCCGTCTTGGGCTGTGAGCAAGGACGGCAAGGATGGGGCCTGGCGAGTTTGGCCAGCCGCAGGGTGGACAGTGGGAGGCAATGCTTTGAATTACAGCTAGTTTGATGTCGCATTTTGATGTCATACGAAGACTTTTGGTGTATATAACCCGGCCCCCAGTGCCTGTAAACTTGCTCATTCTCATTAGGGAATTTGTAAATTACTTAATTTATCAAAACAATTTGTCTGCACTGAGGACAAGTAGGTATGAATGCTTTTATTTTCTTTTAAAGGAAGAATATGTGAACGTAATTTTCAGTTCCCATGATACCAGTAGGGTATAGCTTTTCTTGAGAAAGTAGTATGGTTGGAACATTTAGTACCTCGGTTTATATTTTACTTACAAATCACTTAAACATCATTTCCTGTGACTGTTCCCATCCCCCAGCACACCCCAACCTCCCCCACCCCAACCAGCTTGATCCCAAGCATGTTATCCTTGACAATGATTTTTTTTTTTCCCCTTTTTTATTTTTTCTTTCCCTTTTTCTTTTAAATAGTGTATTACACTATTTAATAAAGCCAGATGTGTGAAACAAAAATAGCTTTCTGCCTAATTACAAGAATGTTTTAAAGAAACATTGAGCTCTTATATTTAAATTTTTACAAAATAAATGCAAAATAAATAAAATAAATTTATTCCAGCAAGCATCTCAGAATGTTCCAGAATATTAGAGTCTTTTACATATGCCTTTTCTAACTTGAGTAGGAGTTGCTATAGAACTGTTGCTATGGTGAAGTGGATTCTATTTTGCAGGGTATAAAGGGATAGTGTTAAAAAGAACTTACTATGTAAAACTCAATTTAAAATGTTTTTTAGGTGTTAATTATAAAATATACCCTGAAAATAATTTTCTGAAAGTCAAATGACATTGTTGCTCTTGATAATCATGTAATTTTAAGCAGTGGTCTTTTGTGCATGTAATTATAAGTATACTTTTCTGGATTTTTGTATTACATTCACTTATTGTAGTGCTTCTGAACACGCCAATTTCCTGCCTTCTTTTCCTCTCCTGGTTTTAAGAATACTTCTCCCTGCTCCTCCACATTGACACTTGTTTTATGTCAGTATTGTTCTTGATGTCAGGCTTACAAAGAAGAAAGAGCTATAATACACCTAATCTGGTGGGAGATGCTGTATACCCAATTAACACCACTAGAATACTGTACTGTAAAAGACTATGAGGGAACTAGAGGATTGCCCGGACCCCAGTAGAGGATATCTAAATGGTCAATAAATAAGCTAACATTATTTTTGACGGGCTATGTTAGGTTTCCTGGCAGGAACAGAGCAAGGAAACAAATAGAAAGAAACTATGGCATTGAGGGCCTGTAGGGCATTAGGTGGAAATCTTAACGTGAAGAAGGTGTATATAATGACCAGGAGGGGGGTGTGAGCTGGAGTGATGGGGCTTAGAATGCTCCCAGTGTATGTGCAGGGAGTTTAGGTTCTGGATCTGTCGCTCAGGCAGATTGTGCAAGAACGTAAAGAAGGCTCTTCAGGCATAGCACTGAAGGAAGGTTTAAATGAAGAGGCCTTTTCAGGAATCTTTTAAACGTGTTTTCCCCATCTTATTTTTAGAATTTAGAGTTACAGTTTTATCTGAACATCAAAAAAATAAAAATACAGTGGTAACAAGATGCTATTGTATATTCCTTCCTATCCATTAAGACCTAGCTCTGGTGCAGCCGGGTGTGGCTCAGGGGCTGAACATCAACCTAGGATCCAGGCGATTGGGGTTTGATTCCCGGTCAGGACACATGCCCGGGTTGTGGGCTCGATCCCCAGCAGGGGGCTTGCGGGAGGCAGCCGATCAATGACTCTCTCACCATTGATGTTTCTGTCTCCCTCTCCCT